AAAGATTGTGCACAAAATGGGAAAAAAGAAATAACATGGCTCTTAAAATATTAAATTAATTTAAAATAAAATTTTAATATTTAAAATCTAAAAATATTAAGAAAGATACAAAATGAAGACATACTGAAAATGCCATTTTTCTCCTATTAAGTTGGCATAGATCAGTGATTTTCAGTCCTGGGTGTACATTATAATTACCTAGAAATCTTTAAAAATATTGACTCAATGGATAAATGAAGTGTGGAATATACATACAATGGGATATTATTCAGCCATAAAGAGAAATGAAATTCTGCTGTAACATGGATCAACCTTGAAAACATTATGCTAAGTGAAATAAGCCTGAGACAAAAGGACAAATGTTGTATGATTCCCACTTAATATGAAATATCTAGAATAGGCAAATGCATAGAAACCAAAGTTCATTATTGGTTACCTGGGACTGGTGGGAGGAGGGAGGGGGGGCAAATACTGCTTGAGCGGTACAGAGTTTTTTGTTTTGAGTGATGAAAAAGTATTGCAAATGGATAGTGATGATTGTTGTGAAACATGTAGTTAATGTCACCAAGTTTTACACGTTAAAATTGTTGAAATGTTTTGTTACATACATTTCACCACCAAAAAAATACTGATTTCTAGTCTCCACTCAAAGCCAATTAACTTAGAATCTCTGGGAGTGTGACCTAGGCATTGGTATACCAGGGTTGAGAACCACTGGCATTGATTAAAAGCTGGATAGCATACCGAGTTGATGAGAATAGGGGCAAATTGTCCCTCTCATGCATTACCATTGTATATATTTGTATAACATCTATGGAGGGAAATTTGGCAGTAGTTATCAAAATGACAAACGCATGTACCCTTTGACTCAACAATTCCCTTCTAGATATTTATTCTACATATATATCTTACAAGAGTAAAATTACCTTTTTACAAGGTTACTCACTGTAGCATTATTTGTAAAGCAAAAGACTGGAAATAGTCTAAATGTTCATTAAAAGGGAACTACTTAAACACAGAGTAATACATACAGTGGCATACTGTGCAGCTGACAGAAAGCCCGAGGAAGCTTTTGTATGTATGACGTGGAATGATTTCTAAAATATGTTAAGTGAAAAACGCAGGTTGCAGAAATCTATATATTACACTGCCATTTGTATAGAGAGGAAGAAAATGTATTTACTTATTTTTGTATAGGTATAAAATATCTTTGGAAAGATACACTAGAGATCACTAATGTTGTTTGCCTCTGGGGAGAAGGGCTGGATTTCTGGGGGCAGGAGTGGGTGGGAAACTTCGTATATATGCTTTTTGTCCTTTTGAATTTTGAATCATTGAGAATATATTATTTATTCCGAAAATGCATACAGTAAGTAAGTTATACTAATGGAGGAAGAGAGTAAGGTATTGCTCGGGACACTTCTTAGATAATATTTTTAGTCCTTTGAGCCTCATAATAATTCTGTAGGATTCTGGTTTACCTGATTGATAAGGAAATCTGGAACTCAGGTGCACTGTACAATCTAATCAAGCTGCACAGGCAGTAAGTGACAGTGCTGGAATTTTTAACCTAGGTCTTTTGGATTATAAAATATATGGCTCCCCCTCCGTCCCTACTACAAATAACAACCTTACACAAGGATTTTTAAAATTCGGAAAGCCTACTAACTTTCCATTAATAAACTCTACCACTCTTACAGTTTATAAGCATTTCTTGTTGTTGGGTATTTTCTTTAAAATATGGTACTTTGAGATATTTTCAAACTTGAATTGTTGTCTATAGTTTTATTTATTTATTTATTTTTGGTGAAGATATACACAGCAAAACATACATCAATTCAGTAATTTCTACATGTACAATTCAGTGACATTGGTTACGTTCTTCAAGTTGTGCCACCTTTTCCAAACTGCTTCATCATCATCAACACAAACTCACTGCTTCTTATCTAACCTTTCAAGTTGGCTGTTGTCAATTTGATTTTATATAGATAATTCTTTAAAAGAATACGATGCTCAAGGCAGACTTTTTTTTCTAATTAAACTAAACTATTGTTTGACTTAAAGATTGCTTCAGGGGGTTGTTTTGGTTTAAGGTTTAAAGATTTCCTCAGGGCAAGAGTTTTGGGGGATCATCCAGCCTCAATGGTGCCAGAAAGTCTGGATTCCAAATCCAAAGTTCTGTTCCTCATTTTACCCCCTATTGGTCAGGATTCTTCTGTAGAATCTTAGATTGAATTGTTCAGTAATGGTAGCTGGACACTGATTCATTTTTTTAAAGCTCCAAACTAGTGGTCATTTACCAGTTGAGATCATCCTGTTTGCCTATAATTGCATTAATTTTTTGGAGGAGGATATTGGGGAAAACAGCTTTTGTTCCTTATAGAGATTTTAATGAACTTTTTTTTGTTTTAAGGTTTCCATGGGTGAACTACCAAGATGGCAATCTCAACATTTCGATTCCAGTGTTTAGTATTCATGGCAACCATGATGATCCCACAGGGGTAATTATTGTGTTCTTATAGTTCGTTGAAATTTTAGAAATGACCAGTTTAGTTCATCTGTTAAAAGTGTTCCTCCCCTTCTTCCCAGCAATTTGTAGTTAAATTGACTTTTTAAATAACTCGATGTCATTCATTTAAGCTTTTGCAATGTTTTATTTATGTTTTAATCTGGAATAAGAATTTGTGTATGAGCCCTGCTTTTGTTTCCTTAGTGCTGAGGGTAACAGTAAGTAGCCAGCAGTAAGAATAAACACCTAAAATTGGTGTTGTGTTTTACAGTTTACCAAGTACTTTTGAATCTGTTATCTCATAAAATCTCACCTGTAGGAAATGATCATTTCATGAACAGTTTTAAACCTAGATAAAGTTATCTTATATTCTATTTGATAAGAAAGTAAGATTTGTTGTTGTTAGGTGCCATTGAGTCGATCCCAAGTCCTAACAAGCCCATGTGACAAAGTAGAAGTACCTCATAGGGTTCCTATTCTGTAATCTTTTCTGAAGCAAATAGCCAGGTCTTTTTCCTGCAGAGCCACTGGTGGGTTTGAACCACCAAGCTTTAGGTTAGCAGGTGAGTGCTTAACCATTTTGCCGCAAGGGCTCCTTGAAAGTAAGAGTAAAGATCCTAAATTCGAAGTATCTTTTAGTATTATCTGCTCATAGCTATTATAAATCACTATTTAGCTAGTCTTTTTTCCAGGTCTTAAGAGGTCTGCTTAATATTACAAAGCACTTATTTCATGGTTTATTTTTATTTTCATAATGTTTTGGGAGTTCCTGGGTGGCGCAAATGGTTAAGTGCTCAGTTAATAACCGAAAGGTTGGCAGTCCAAACCCACCCAGAGTTACCCAGGAAGAAAGCCCTGTTGATCTGCTTCCAAAAGGTCACAGCCATGAAAACCCTTTGGAGCATAGTTCTACTCTGCAACACATGGGTTTACCGTGAGTTGGAATTGACTCGATGGCAACTGGGATTTTTTTTTTTTTTAATGAAGTGTTAACTTTGTATTTAACATGTGATTCCAGTTGCAGTAGGTGATTTGTAGTAATATTTTAAAAAGGCAGCAAATCCTTTTACTGTTGTAATTTTATTTTGAGAAGACACCATCCTAATCTATGTTTTTGTAACTAGTACATAGAGTATGCTTTTAATAGTATGATATGCAAGGAACCCTGGTGGTGCAGTGGTTAAAGTATTCACCTACGAACCAAAAGGTTGGTGGTTTGAATCCACCAGCCACTTTAAAGGAGAAAGATGTGGCTATCTGCTTCTGTAAAGATTTACAGCCTTGGAAGCCCTGTGGGGTTACTATGAGTTGGAATTGACTCGATGGCAGTGGGTTTTTGGGTAGTATGATATACAGATTAATTACTTTTAGGTGCACATTAATATTCTTTTAAAAAATTTTTGCATAGGCAGATGCACTCTGTGCCCTGGATATTTTAAGTTGTGCAGGATTGGTAAATCACTTTGGACGTTCAATGTCTGTGGAGAAGATAGACATTAGTCCGGTTTTGCTTCAGAAAGGAAGTACAAAAATTGCTTTATATGGTTTAGGTAAGATGGTCTTATTTTATTATTTATGTGTACATTACTGTTTGTGAAATTGGTAAAGTCGTGTGGCCAATGGACTAGATGGCTGAGGTGGAACACGGGGCACATAACTGGAGATGAGTCATAGCACTCAAAGTCCAGGGCATTAAAAGGTTGGTTTAATTAGATGTTGAACCACTGAGAACACTGACAAAATTTGAAGGTAGGCAGATGAAAAATTTGAGGGGAAGGAGAGGGCATTTCAGCCAGATGGCATAAGCTTCAATGGAGCCAGGTGTTTTGCAGTCAGAAAAGGAGGTAATAGTGGATAGCAAGACAAGGAGAACAGCGACCCCCTTCTGCCCTAAAGCCGAGGGATAAGAGCTGCACTGGACGTGACAACCTCAGGAGCCAGCCAGGTTTCACTGGTGGCCAAAAGGTGGAAGCAACATTCAGAGAAAGGACTGGTGACATTAGGGAATTTGCTGATTATAAGGAGAGAGTTCTACAGTACCTAATGGAGGATTGGGGTGGGGTGGGGTGTGGAGATAGGGTCCAGTCTCAGTGGAGCTTCCAGACTAAAACAGACTAGGAAGGAAGGCCTAGCGATCTGCTTCTGAAAATTAGTCAATGAAAACCTTATGGCGCACAATGATCCGATCTGGAACCAATCATGGGCATGGTGCAGGGCCAGGTAGCATTTCGTTCCATTGCACATGGGATTGCCATAAGTCAGGGCCCAACTCTACGACAGCTAACAACAACAATAAGGAAGAAAGAACAAGGTAGGATGAGCTTGGGTGAAAACAGATGACTGAAGAGGTATGAACTTCTGGTGGTAACTGAGGCTTAATGGGATCTGTTCTGAGTCTGAAAATGGGAAGAACAGTCATTTATTGGTGCTATGATACCTAACATTGTAAGGGTGTAAATAAATACTTGTTTAAACAGCTGTGAAATGAGATTCTGGAGATAACATTGTTTCCAGTTAGAAAAAAGTGGAATGAATCTGATTGTTACTTATTCATGACTGTAACATATGATAGAAGTTTCTAGTCAGATGAATTTTTTTAGTGCTTAATAAGAACCAAGTAACTGTTAAGCAACTGTCATACAAGAACCTGGAGCATATCCACTTGTAAACAAAGATTCCAGATTTCAAATATATCTCTAATAGTAAAATGAAATATTTTGAGAAGCCTATAAATTAGAAACCAAATATATTCATGTTTTTTAAATCAAAGTAAGAAAACAGTTTTAAAATTATGTAATGCCTATTTCAGGCTCCATTCCAGATGAAAGGCTTTATCGAACATTCGTCAATAAAAAAGTAACAATGTTGAGACCAAAAGAAGATGAGAACTCTTGGTTTAACTTATTTGTGATTCATCAGAACAGGTAAAAACATTCTCTGAAAATTCTTGAGCCAAATGTTGGAGTTCCCCAAACCTTGGTGGGTTGTTCCCAAGATTACCTATTTTGAGTCAGTTCCAACTCGTCAACCATGTGTGTAAGAATAGAACTGTCCTCCATAGGTTTTTTTTTTTTTAATTGTGCTTTAAGTGAAAGTTTATAGTTCAAGTTAGTTTCATACAAAAATTTATGCACACATTGTTATGTGACCCTAAGTTGCTCTCCCTATAATGTGACAGCACACTCTTCCATTCCACCCCAGATTTCCCGTGTCCATTCAGCCAGCTCCTGCCCGTTTTGCCTTCTCATCTCGCCTCTGGACAGGAGCTGCCCATTGAGTCTCATGTATCCACTTGAGCTAAGAAGCACATTCTTCACGAGTATCATTTTATGTCTTATAGTCCAGTCTAATCTTTGTCTGAAGAGTTGGCTTCGGGAATGGTTTCAGTTCTGGGCTAACAGAGTCTTCCGGGGTCCCTCCAGTCTCAATCAGACCGTTAAGTCTGGTCTTTTTACTAGAATTTGAGTTCTGCACCCTACTTTTCTCCTGCTCTGTCAGGGACT